GGCGGCCTTCCCTCCTCAGATTAGGAGACACCTAGCATGGTGTGGGCCTTGTCCTACTCGCAAATCTCACCAGAGATCAAAGAGACATTCTTCAGACACTGGGGAAACTCAGAGGTGGCCTGGACATCAAATGGTCTCAAGGCATGAATGTTAATCATCTCAAGAGCGGCTGGGTGACAGAGCGCCCATAATGCGATCTGGAATCTGTTTCAATTTTTTTTTTACTGTTTACTTATTTTTGAGAGAGAGAGAGAGAGAAAGAGAGAGAGAAAGTGCAAGTGGGGGAGGGGCAGAGAAAGCAGGAGACACAGAGTCCGAAGCAGGCTCCAGGCTCTAGGCTCTGAGCTGTCAGCACAGAGCCCGACATGGGGCTTGAACTCAGGACCCGTGAGATCATGACCTGAGCTGAAGTTGGATGCTTAACCCACTGAGCCACCCAGGTGCGCCTGGGAATCTACTTCAAAGGGCACAGTCAGCAATCGCGACAAGACGTTTTGGCATAGATACAGCAAGTGTGACCGGACCTCGATGATGGTTCGATCCGGCGACGTGGAGATCCCTTAGACGGTTCCAACTATGTACGTGTTTGAAATCTGGCACCACAAAAATACGCAGGACTTCCTTGCTGGCTTTTCCACTCGGGGAGGCACGCGTACCCCCAAATGCCACAAAGACCTCTCTTCCTGGTGAGGACGGAGTGCAAGGCTTCACGGGGTCAACTTTCACAGACTGACTGGCCTGGACTTCACGGTCAGCCCTGTTATCTCACACCGCATCCCGCCAGCTGCCTTTTTCTACTTTTTTTGTGTGGGGTCAGGAGAGGGGGAAGGGTTTTTGTGAGGGGGGGCAGGGAGGAGGGCAACGAGTACTTTGGCAAATAGAAAGGGAGCATCACTTGCTCCGGAGGTAAGTGTAAAATCAAATACTTAGCGACGCAAAGAGCCCGGTTGTGATACCAGACGCCCATAGAAGAAGATGTTACCACTAGGAGGACCTGGGTGAAGGGTACAGGGCAATTTCCTGTGAGCCTATAATTTATCAACACATTTAAAAAAAATACATAATTATTTAAAAATGTCTTATGGGGCGCCTGGGTGGCTCAGTCGATTAAGCGTCTGACTTCGGCTCAGGTCGTGGTCTCACGGTTCATGAGTTCCAGCCCCACGTTGGGCTCTGTTCTGACAGCTGGGAGCCTGGAGCCTGTTTTGGAATCTGTGTCTCCCCCTCTCTCTGCCCCTCCCCTGCTCACGCTCTGTCTCTCTTCCTCTCTTAAAAATAAATAAACATCAAAAAAAAATTTTTTTTAAATCTGTTGTGAACAGGGGAGTTTCCTTGCAGGTTAACACTTTGGGGGGAACATTGACTCAGAGAAATGACCTCCCGTGTCTGGGCGTTTCAGGGAGACGGTTCACGGATGCTCCAACGAAATCCAACCAGATTATGATAATCTAGGCTGCACATGTGTTATCTGGTCCTCCTCACTGCCCCTTGTGCAGAGTGCGGCCTGGCAGGGAGTCGCCATGTGTTCACAGGCCACAGGCCACCCACCACGGGCCTCGGCTCCCCGCGGCTTGTGTTCTCGGACAGGTGCACAGGTGACTGAAGCAATCTTGGAAACAGACGGGAAACCGTCCCAAGAGGAAGCCTTCCCCACCTTCCCCACATGGAAAAGAGGCTTGTAGCATTTCTGTCCACATTCACAGATGATGGACCCGAGGCTCGGGAAGCCAGGTCTTGTGCGGATTACAGACAGGTGGAGAAAGTGACCGAGCGTGACCTGAGTGCCAGTCTCCTTGGCTCCAAAGCCAGTGTCTGAACTAGGCTGGCCAGCCTCCTAAGGGGCAGGAGCCAACCTCAAGTAACCTGCCCTCCATGGGCCTCGATTTCCCTGTCTGTAAAATGGGGGCATTGATCTCCCTAGAAGATGTCATTTCACCTTGGCTTCCTGTGAATTTCACCACCTTGGCCCTGAGAAACCCCCCAGCGGTGTTTTGAATGTCCAGAGAGGGAGAACAGGAATGGCAAAGAGAAGGATCCCCAGACTTCTGGAGTGCTGGCTTCAAGCCAGACCCACTGCATTGACTCACACCACAGGTGGAGCTAAAACGCTCAGGCCTGGCAGGGTCCAGGTTGAAGGGCCAAGTTGGTGGCCTCCAGGGATACCTGGACAGACCCAAGGCAGGGGCCTATGGGGTCCTCAAAGGCCAACATGGGGCCGGCAGCTCACAGAGATCTAGAAAATTCTCCGCAGTGAAAATCCACTCTCATAACCCAGGCCTGTTTGTTTCCTCACTTCTGGCAGCCACGTGGGTACGAGGAAGGCATGTGTTCTGTTCCTCTTAGCATAAAACCACAACGCGAGCAGGATCCTAATGGCAGGTGGCGCTCGGCCTCCATGATGGAGGGGCAACCCTCCGTGGGAGTAGGGGGGACCCTGGTGGGGGGGGAAGCAGAGAGGGAACCCCTGCTGACATGGTTAACATCTAGGCCTCGAGACCAACTGTGTGACCCAGGCAAGTTGCCCAATCCCTCTGTGAAAAAGCAGGATGCTTACGGTGCAAGAAACGCTTTTCTGGAATGTTCCGAGAGCTCAGAGCTCATCCATGTAGTGTCAAGAACAGCCCTGGGCTCAGGAAAAAGCTCGAGATGCATTCATGCTGCTGTTGCCATGGGGACATGCAGGCCCCACGTTGCCAAGTCAGGCCCTTTTCAAGGGAAGCCGGGAGTTTTGACGTGGCCTCTCTCGATATTTGAAGGGTGGCCACTGCTGCAGAAAAAAACTCTTAAAAATGCTGTAGGGACGGGACGCTGGGGTGGCTCAGCTGGCCAAGCCCCCGCCTCTTGATTTCAGCTCAGGTCAGGATTTCACAGTTCGTGGGTTCGAGCCCCACGTTGGGCTCTGTGCTTGGCAGCTGAGAGCCTGCTTGAGATTCTCTCTCGCTCTTTCTCTGCCCCTCCCGGCTTGGTCACTCTCTCAAAAAAATAAGCTTAAAAAAAATTTTTTTTTTAATGCCATAGGGTCCAAACCGCTGGCCCGGGGCTGCTGAGGACAGAGAAATTCATTAGCTCGGCTTTTGCCCTCAGAGCTCCCAGACCAGGAGAGGGAACCCATTCCATTGCCCTGGAAGTCACTGCCAGGAGCCCGACAGGACTGCTCCCATGCAGTTGCTAACAGAAGGCAGGGCCCCACCTGCCCACGAGGATAGCGGCCCCAGCCCTCGGTGGTGACGTCGGTTTGATTCCCGCCTGCGCTTCTCTGAAGGCATTTCAACTGCATCTGGCAAGTTCCAGAAAAGCCCGGGGCCTGACAACCCACCACAGTTCCTCTTGTCCTGCTCGGCCATTTCCGGACTCTCCAGCCAC